CACAAGGAAGTGCTCCAGTGGTGAGTTCAGTACCCCATGACAACCCTCCTCCTCCTCCTTTACCTGCCAGTTGACTTTGACAGTCATGCATGTTCTTTTCTTTAAGTCTTCCCTTGGCTCCGTTCTCTTCCGGTTCACTTCCGGCCTCTCTAATTGTTCCTTCGGTGCACCCTTTGGAGGATCCTCCCCATCCCTTCCTCCATCTTTCTGTGGAAGCTCTACGGGCTCTGTCCTTGCTCTGTATGTTACACCTAGTCTCCAAAGGGTTAACTAGAACTGGCCCTAGGAAAGGGAAAACCCACAAGGTCGGATAGTCTTCAAATGCATTCTTACCATCTCCACGTTGTTGCTAGAAGGGTCCTTCACTCTGTGGAGAAATAGTCTTAGTAGACATTTGAAAAGAAAAACACTCACTTTATTTAGCCTAATAACCTTTGCTGGGAATGCGGTTTTGCCATTAGTAGTGCATTAGTGCTAACTTATGAGTCAAAAACTGACGTTTACCAGAGGCTCCCCTTGTGCTTTGGAAAAAAGACCTGTTTGGGCACCAATTGCAAAATACCAATGCACCAAAATATGATTCTGAAAACCTTGAGTTCATCATGATGGGATACTCTGTCTTGAAGTTACAAAAGCCACAAGTCCATATTTATAGATAGATCTCTGACACACAGAGCCCTCTATCTTTTAATACACTACTCTGCATTTGACAGCACTAGCTGTATTAGTTTTGCACTGTGAGCCAGATTCTGTTCCTATTTGCATAGGGGTAAAACTGGAGTAACTCCACTGTCAGGTTTATGTATGTGTAAATAAGAACACAATCCGCCCATGGTCTTTTTAAATGTAGTACAAAGAAAAGCACCCTGCCATAAATCAGTTATATAAATTCATCTGTGTTGTACATTGAAAGCCACATGCTTTTTTTAAATATACAGTTGGACGTGTGCGGCAATGAAAAATTATTAAAGACCAGACTTTGTTCGGTCTCCTGCATAGCTGTGCAAGACTGGAGAGTCTTGTGATGAGGGGGGGAAATGTGTCAGGATCACAACAAGGGCAGTTGGGACCAGGGGTCAAAGCTGGAGCAAACCTGAGACTGACAGTAGTGGAGGAGTTTAGGCCTGAGTCGATGCCAAAGGTTGAGTCCCAGTCAGGTTTCAGGGTCTGGGTCAGGAGGCAAAGTCCAAGTCAAGGTCAAAGACAGGAGTTTCTGAGCAGAAATGATCATGGCAGCTACAGAAGATCCACACTGTTGCTTGGATGCTTCCTGAAATGCCTCTTGGGTTTATATAGGGTGGGGAGCAAATCAGGAACCATGAAGCTGCTGCCTGTCAGACTCCTTGAGGGGGGACTTCCCATGGTGTGTCTCCACAGCAGGCTGTGGGGCCATGGACCACAAGCTGGTTACAGCTGCTGCTTGGTGGCAGTAGGGAGATGATGGCAGCTCTACAGGCCTGGGTTCTAGGGCTGTAGGGGTCTAACATTGTTTTTAAAAATCAACTTAGTCTAATTTGGGACCACATGCTGTAATTTTATGGCTATTACATAGTATCACTATAGGGCAGAATTAAAGTTGTTTGGGTACCTTAGTTGTGCCTTTCCATATTTTAACGCATTTTGATATTTTTAATTGTAACCTCATCTTTGAATTTTTGGTGGTGAGATAATTTCAACATCCCTCTAAGGTGTTACATTCTCAAAATGTACTCTCAACATTAACTCCATGTCAACAGAGTGGTTTTTGTTTGTTTTTGTCCAGGAGTAATATCAGGAGTAACAAATAATCTGCTTCTCAGGATAATCTCCCCTGCTAATGAATCACCTGCACAGTGGTTCGGTTTGAGGGGAAATGGTATAAATGGACAGGTAATGAGAACTAGTGAGTGATAGTACTGATCAGTATACAAGTTCCAGTTGGGCTGATCGCCAGTTATCTGCTCTCTTCACAGGTCACCAGGTGCTTTCTTGTTTGGAGGTACCACAATACTGTAGAGATCTCCACATGCCCTTCATACCAATTCTAGAAGCTTTAAGATTTGCTACATTTTTTGCATTTTCAGGTAGTGAGATTTCATTTTGGCAACATCATATGATATGAAATTCACAGTTCATAATTGTGAAGCATTTTTATTTACTTACCTTCTCAAGGTAACTGAATAATGTACTACATGTAACCTCTCTGCATCTTCACTCGGAACACAAAAAGGATGATATACCAGTGACCTCCTCTAACATATTAATTATGATTTTCATTTTAGAGGTTTTTGTAAACACTTTTTTTTGCACATCCCCGACAAAGTGGGAATCATTCTTCAAGAGCCTGCATATACAGGAGATCAATAGCTTTAATAATATATATTGAATTTTTAAATTTAGGTATTAACAGGTGAGCCAAAGAAATTTGTTTATATCAATGAAGTATGACCAACTGAATACACATCAGGAAAATGGCCCTACGGGCAGAGATTTTTGCATAGTAAAATTAGATTCACAGGTAACTTGTTAGTTCTTTCAAAGTTGTGCAATAATTTATGGGAGATCTCTCCGCAGCCCCTTCACTTATACCTCACACAGCCATTTTAGAGTAAGCTGCATTTTTTCACATGCTATACCACTGAAGAGATTGAGTTCATATATTCCCAAAAGAGCTAAGCCCCTGTGCTCTTTCTAAAGACAATGAAAGTTTCTTCTTCCTGTTTGTTTTCTGTTCCTTCCATGAGGCACTACATGAATACCTCAGGATGGAGAAGTAGCTGGAGGGATAGAAAGTTCATTTTCAAACAGGAAAAGATGTCAAGTATCAGCCATTCAAGCCGGTCAGATTTAATTTTATAAACAAGTGATATGAGAGTGTCTGGCATTGGCCTTTTTTTCCCCCTCATGATATTGCTTGACAAGTTCCATGAGGGGTGGATCTTACTGAGACAGCCATTCATTGCTCTTCACCTACCTGTGGCCCACCAGGTCCCTCCAGTGTGGTAATGTGTTCAGAGTCCAGCCATGCTGTGTTAGCATTGTGAGGGGCATCTGGAGAAGCCTATGAGGAGCTGGGAACTTTCCCTGAGGGTCTTTGACATGGTGTGGTGTGGCAGAACTACTCCCTTCTGATCTTAGCGGCAGTCCTGCTGACCCTTCAAGCCATCAGCCTTTGGTTGGCCTATGAGACTGAGCACTGAGCCTGAAGAAATGCAGCATATGATTCACAAGGGCAGGTTTCCATGCAGCAAATAGTGTATAGAGAATTCCATCAGATGTAAGTATTCTAGGTATTATCTCCATTCTGTAGTTGGGAGGAAAACTCAGGCATAGAAGTTAAGGCCTACATTTTCAACACTGTCAGCTAATTTTGGGTGTCTACCCTATTCAATCCCCAATTGGAGGCCCCTTTTGAAAATATGGCCCTAAGTTCAAGGTCATTCAGGGAGTTCTGTCACCTGTTTTAAAAACAAGGCCATTCCTCCTCTTGCGTACAGCATAGGAATACTGAATGTGGGGAACTCATATTTATTCCAGGCCCAGCCAACCGTAGGAGTGGGTCACAACACTGATATAGCCTCTTGCTGCCCAGTTTACCTTTCATGACCTCCCAATAAAGCCAGTGAAGCTGCTGAAGTATTTGTCTTTTGTGGAAAGTAATTAAATACCAGATTAATGCTTTAGAGATTAACATGAGCTTACAGCTGTGTGGGGAAAAAAATTCATTCTCAAACGATTAGCTAGCTGAATAAAAGTGTGGGGGAGATTCTCAGAAATAGGGCTTTAAACTGTTTTAGATAGAACTATCAATATAGGAGTCTCTCTGTAGTGACTTATTTCAATAGGCTTTTGTTAATTATTTTCTCTCTCCTTTTCTTCCCATTTCCATCTTTATTACAAAGTTACTTCTAACAATATCATCCACTTGTACCAAGCAGCAGTCCTTGAAAGTATCCTCACACAAGGGTCCTGCAATGTAATGCTGGCTGTTTTGAGAGCCCGATGGGGGAAAGTTGCATTAATATGTCCAATTTTTTTTTTCATCACCAGGTGGCATCTGTCCCAACAATGACCCTATATTATAGTGTGCCAAGGTCCCAAAAGCTATTATTCGCTAAAGAACAGATATTACTAAATTAAAGGAAATCAATGACTTTTTTATGTGTGGGTGACACAGACACATGCTTTCTTATTTTACTTATGGTCAGGACAGTTTCATCTGCTTTCTATCTAAGGTGACACCACATATAACAAAGACTATTTTTTAAAGCTACAGAGAAAGTGAATTATTTAATAAAGAAAGGATCTGTGTAGGAGATTTAACTTTCTTTAATCCCTCAAATCTCCTTGCCAAATATGATAACATTCTGAAATTGCTTGACACTTTTTACTCAACATGTCTTAGGGACAAGTAGCCAACACCTATATCAGACATATTAGGCATGTATTAGATACCTAACCTACCTATCTGAGCATTATTTATTTATTTTCCTTCTTCAAAATTCTTTCAAGTGCCTCAAGTCTATTACAAATCTTCATGTTAATTTACACGTCATTGTTGTTTTCCCCATGGTGCGTATGTTGAAAAAGGCATTGATATATATTTACTAAACCATTACCTCCCTAACTGGTGAATTTATTAGAGCAGATGCTTTCTTTCATAAATACTGTCATTAAATGCATGAGACTGTTGATCTAAGGCCCTTTGCTGAGAGGCTGCTTCGATTATAAAGAGCAGAGATGGTTCTCATTCAACTGCAAACTAGACTGAATTTCACAATGAAACTTTCATCATAAAAAAAGAAAAATAACCTCACTGTAATACATCAGTGACTTTATTTCCAAGAAAGAGATTTTTTTTTCCAATTTAAAAAAAAAAGTTAAAGAGCAGGCTTCCTGGGAAGAGACTGCTTTTTAAAGAAACCACCCTGCTACAGGGAACACTTGCCTCTCTAATTTGTAGAAAGGAGCTCTCTTAATTATGCTCAGTTTATTGCATCTCTCTCTCTCTCGCTCACTCTCTGCGCCTGTCTGTGTATATGCAGAGGGCTAGAGAAAGCTGGCTGCACTACCTGAATAGCTCTTGAAAGAGTGAGACTTCTCAGCTCCTGCTTCATTACTGGGTAGCAGCTATTCCAGTGTGTAAGAGAGCCTAACTGCATTCTCCCCTCGAAAACCCTTTGGTAAGTCTCCTGTGCTGACAGAGCTGCAGATTAACTCAGCAAAGGAAGAGGGTGGGGGAAGAGCTTGTGCGCTGCATAAGATCAATTAGAGTTGAAAGATTTTTTTTTTAATGTGTTAAATCTTTTTCTGTATCATTGCAATGCAAAAATCTATGTGCTCAAGAGCAACGTTAAGTAAATTAAGGAGTGCTTAAAACTGAGCTGAAAAAATTACTAGAGATGAGATTGGTAATGCTTCTTAGAACTGCAAGATGATTCTTTTATCCTTCACTTTTTGTCTGTTTATTGTACTGGATGTGTTAAAAGGCTCAGAGTAACAAAATTAGTTTTCTTGCTGGTGGATGGCTTTGGAAATGTAGAACTTTTAACAGAACAGGGATGACAGCTAATGATACAAAGGAGAAGTGTGTGTGTGTGTGGGGGGGGGGGGAGGTTGTTATTTGCATGCACATTATTCTACCTGCTTCTGTTGCTTACCATGAAGTGAGCTGTAGCTCACGAAAGCTCATGCTCAAATAAATTGGTTAGTCTCTAAGGTGCCACAAGTACTCCTTTTCTTTATGCTCAAGAAAAGTCTAAAGAACTAAGGAATGCACATCTACTGCTCAAATCGCTGATGTGTATGCTTGTTAAGTATGCTTGTCACATATTTTATTAGTCATCTGGCTGATAAGTGGTGCTGACCAAGTCATTCACTTCTATATATATATATATACACACACACACTCACACACAGACATGCATTTTTATTTACCTTGACAGCATGGATCAAGTGCATTAGACTCAAGAGGAAATGATAGCACCTAGCTGAGAGGTCAGGTCATGGCTCTCCTGCCCTAGCAGAACAAAGATAATGTGAATGCTAGATTTGAATTGTGCAGTTATTACAGCTTTCCAGGAAACTCAAGGCTTGAACAATTTGATTCAGAAGGTGTTAACAAGCTGCACTGGCAATGGACTAGAGGCTGTTGGTTAAATATAGGAAATAAAAGAAGGATTGGCTCCTAACTGAATCCAAGTTTACTTCCCTTACAAATAAATCCAATCTAGCTGCATCAGTATCAGGACATGATACGGTGGACTCATCAGTTACTGTCAGTCCAGTCCAGATCTCTGTTGGATACAGCTGTGCATTGGATCATATAGATGACACTGCTGTATTTATAACTGTCAGGAGGGCTGTTCCTTATAGCTAAAAAATATACAGTGATAATTTTAGACTCCTGCTGCGTGTCCTAGTCATCACTTTCTCTGTCCCTGAACAAACACGATAGATCTAAGGATTAGGTTTTAGGTCTACAATGGTTACTTTCAAGTCACTGTGGGTATATTCACTTTCCCTGTTCAGGGCAAAAGGGACCATATTGATTTTTTTTTTCCAGGTGACTTTATCTGTAGTGTTTAAGGAGCAACTTTTATAAGCTAGTGTAAGAACACAGCTCAGCTCACTGGCAAAGTACAAAATAAGCACTGCTTCCTCACGCTCAGTAATTTCACATTAGACTGATGGAGGAATCATTCTGAAGGGTACAGGCTGACAGACTGAGCTAGGGAATTGATAAGTGAGCTTGTATAACTAGTAGCTATAGAACTTATAAATAGGACTGCTTCTGTGCCATGTGCTCCAGGTTTGGAGACCCAGCATTACTCTGTCAATAGCAAACTAAATTATTGCTAAAATTGCATCATTGCCGAGGATATTTAGTGCATTAAATGTATTACAGGGGAGCAATAGATAGGGTAAAAGAAATGGGAAGCGGAGTCCATTTTTTCTTGCATTTACATCTAAGTTCCATCACTGCTGAATACAATTACGCAGTGCGTTTTTGAAGGGTTTTTTGCTTTTGTGGGCCAGCTTTATCTACATGTATGAGAGTAAAATTACAGTAATGACAAAGAATTTCAGCACAAAGGGAATTAGGGGCCGTAGAGGACTAGGGAGCCCTAGCTATTGGTACATCTGGTTCTGAGCATTGAATTCATACTTGAGCTTCTTCCTGTTAACCAGGTGATTTTGCTGTTGGCCCTTTTGCCATGTAACAATGAGCACGAATCTCAAACCAACCTAACAGAAAATAGGTTTGTGGAAAAAACTCTCATTTTCTGGGGCCAGATTTAATTCCTTTATGCCTGCAGAGCAGACTCAGACTCTGTGAGCAGTTCCCAATGATTTCTGTATTATTCCTTGTAGAGTAAAGTGCTACTCAGCACTGGTGAGGGTAGCAGAATTGGGCCTTGGGTGATACAGAAGTTCTGTATTAACCACAGGATGTGTCTTTACAGGCCAGATTGTGGCTCATCCTTGCATGAGTGCTGGGGCAAAGTGCTCAAGGAGTCTTACCCCACCTCCATCCTTGCACAAGTGATGCTCCCTCCATGTGATTTGGTATTTCACATTGCCCCAAAGGGAGTGGGAAGAGGCAGGCCAAAAGTGATGTTATGGTGTCATGCCTTCTCACACAGTGGGCTAGGTATGCCTGAGAAACTGGTGTAGCCATCCTAAAGGCTGATACATTCTCTGCACCCACACACCTGTGTGTTAGGTAGGCTAGGGAAGGGATGGATAACGCACACTGCCTCCAATGCAGAGCTATGCCTAATTCTCACATTTTGTCCCATGTTATAAGAGATGGTCAAAAAACCTGTAAAGCACGTGTGGGTTCAATCAAAAATCACATTGGGGGGGGGGCAATTATCAATAAACGTAAACTTGGAAAATTTTGTCCTGCTCTCAAGGTAACACAAAGTAAATGTGAATTCCATCCTAGGTAAAGGTTTAACCAATCCACCAAGCATAGAACAGGGATATTCCCCAGCAACATTCAAAATTGGACATTTTTCTAAAAGATACACTCTAGGAATCATTGTGGAGAAGTTCTATGGCCTGTGCTATGCAGGAGGTCAGACTAGATGATCACAGTGGTCCCTTCTGGCCTTAGAATCTCTGAATGCCAAGCACCTCGTAGGTTACTAATATGAGCCTTTGTCCTATAAAGTTTAATGCTATACAGAATCTTCAGACACAGCCAGCATAAGACACAGCCACAGAGATTTCAACATACCTCCAAGCCAACATGGGTTTTCATCAAAAATTTCCTCTGTTGCTCCTTCAGCTTGAAATGCCCCTCCTCCCTCTCATCCTCATCAAAGATTACAATTCATGAAGCAGAAAATGCCAGATGTTCAAGCACTGGCAAAGAGCTCCTCTAAATTGTTTCTAGTTTTTCACACATCTATATGACAGATTTTCATTACTCCCCTCTGTTTTTATATATTGAATCTATCAAAGCATTTCAGTACCCATCACTTAGCTATCATAAGGGTGCTCATCACAACTCCTAGTGGACAACTTAATTCATTTTAAGATAGGGCTTGACAAATTTATGAGTGGGATTGTATGATGGGGTTGCTTGTCAGGAGGTGCATCACTCATCAGCCTTGGATAGTTTCTTCCAGTTCATGGCTAAAATCTCAAACTGCAGGGCTTCAGCCAGTCACCTGCAGGGATCAGGAAGGGAATGTTTCCTCCATTGTCTTCTGGGTTTGTGGGGGCTGTTTGATTGTTGGTTTTCTTTTTTCTTCTTCCTTTTTCTGAATCGTCAGGGACAGCCATAGTTGACGATGGGCAACTGGACGAGGTGGGCCAGTGCTCTGAGCATTCTCTCATAGACTTCAAAGTCAGAAGGGACCATCATGATCATCTAGTCTGACCTCCTGCACATCACAGGCCACAGAGTCTCACCTCTTCACTCCTGTAATAGGCCCATAACTTCTGGTTGAGTTACTGACGTCCTCAAATCTTGATTTAAAGACTTCAAATTAGAGACTCCACCCTTTACTCTAGTTTACACCAGAAAGTGACCCATGCCTGTAGCATTTTGTACCTCAAAGCAGCACCCTGGAAAAAATATTCACCCTGTCATATAATTATGATATATTTCATACATAGCACACCATGTAAGATACCATATGAAAGGTCATGATCTGCTGAAATCCATTATTCTGTCCAAATATGTATATCATTACTGTGTATGAAGTTATGAGATTTTGCTGTATGGTTGTTACTGAAATATGTTGTAAGTTAGAGAGTTTCTACTGCTAGGTGGTGATCTACTCCCAGGAGGGTGTTAAGTGACCATTAATTAACAGGGGAGTTGTAATCAAGGGATTTACAATGCTGTAAGAGGGCTGCATAAGCATCATACAATAGGGGATTGCTCAACTCTGTAACTTAGCAAAGCCCACCAGGATATGTCTGCGTTAGTGTTTTCCAGGCACATGGACTGAGGATATAAAATAGGGGACAGTGGCATTATGCTTTTACCTTTCTCCTCCCCCACCTTTGCTGGAAGCAACAAGAACACTGGAGGACAAAGACTTGAACTGAGGAGACTGGTCCCAGGCTTAAAGAGAAAGCCCATGTATTAAGAACTATAACCTAACTGCAATGTCCAGTGGGGTGAGAAATTGCTTGACCCACATATTGCCTAGTCTAATAAAGTTTAAGACTTAGACTGTCCACTTACCTTTTATATTCTTTGGTAACTATCTCTGACCTTTTGTGCCTACCACTTATAATCACTTAAAATCTATCTTTCTATAGCTAATAAATCTGTTTTATATTTTACCTAAAACAGTGTGTTTTGCTTGAAGTGCTTGGGATATTGCAGCTCAGTTTACAAAGGCTTGTGTGTGTCCTCTCTACATCAAGGGAGGGGCAGACTGGGTAATGAACTTACAATGGCCAGGCTGCTGATCAATGCAAGATGGTATATTTTGGGGGTGCAAGGCTGGAGGCTGGGGAGATTTGCTGGTGCCTTTCTCATGAGTGGCTCAGGGAGCACTTACGTAATTTAGCTGGGTGTGGGGCTCCACATGCTGTTGTACTAAGTGAGTTTGGAGGGGTTTGCTGTTTGTCACTAGCAAAGCATTGTGAGAGACAGCCCAGGCTGGAGAGTTAAGGGGGCACAGCAATACCCCAGTTCTAAGTTGTAGCCCAG